AGCGCCGACAAGAAACAGGTCTCTGAGTACATAAAGAACAGTGTACCAGATGTGATGGAGGAGATGTACAAGAAAGCTCACACCGCTATACGAGAGAACCCAGTCTATGAAAAGAAACCCAAGAAAGAAGTTAAAAAGAAGAAGTGGAATTGTCCCAAGATGTCCCTTGCCCAGAAGAAAGATCGGGTAGCCCAGAAGAAGGCAAGCTTTCTCAGAGCTCAGGAGCAGGCTGCTGAGAGCTAAACCAAACAATTTTCTATGACTTTATTCAAGATAAAAGATAATAAATCACAAAAAAGCAACAAAAAGAAGAAGATAGGGACCAGCAGTTAGCGTAATGGCTATGTTGCTGGACTCCCACATAGTTGACCGCAGTTTGAGTCCCAGACCCAGTGGCTTAAACTCAGGCCAGGTGCATGTGAGTATGTGCCCAAGATCCCAAGAGAAGAAGGGATTACAGTGTGGCCATCCCCCCGGGGGGTAATTTCTCCCTTTCTGTCTCTCTGTCTTTCCGGCGAACGCATGCACCCTATAGCAAAAAACCTCTCAAAAAAAAAAAAAAAAGATAATAAAATGAGATTTACTTTGAGTTGGGAGGAGGAAGAAAGCTTGGAGCTGAAAGAGTGAATAGACAGTTGTCAGACCCTTTGGTCTAGGAATAAGATCTCCAGGAGACCTTTAGCAGCTAGGAAAGTAAATTACCACTGGGTGGTGCTGTTGGCTTTAGGCTCTTAATAGCAGAAGGGGATTCAATCAGCTTTAGTCTCAGCTCCCTGTTCAGAACTAGATCTGAGGTATTTTCATCCAGCAGAATTTCAAGTAAGAGGGTATTTATCTAATTTTCCAAATAGGATTCTTAAGTCCCAGAAAACAGTAATTATGAGTTTACCATGATGAGTAAGAAAGTCTGTAAATTCCTATATCTAAGTATAACATGAATTTATTAATGTTACTGTAGGCGTCAATTCTATCAGCTTGAAGGAACCAGCCAAAAAGTTCCTGACTCACTGTACAATTATCTATTGAAGTTTACTTTAAAATATAAAATGATTTAGGAAACTATTTTGTAAAAATCTTCCCAAATAAGAATTAAAGGTGGGACCAGCAGTGAGCATAATGGCTATGTCGCTGAACTCCCATGTAGTCAACTGCAGTTCAAGTCCCAGACCCAGTGGCTTAAACTCACGCCGGGTGCATGTGCGTGCACGTGCGTGCCCAAGATCCTGAGAGGAGAATGGAGGAGAAGGAATGGTAGTATGGCAATCCTCGTGGGGGGTGATTTCTCGATTTCTGTCTCTCTGTATCTCTCCATCTCTGGCGAACGCACGCGCCCTATAGCAAAAACCTCTCCAAAAAAAAAAAAAGAATTAAAGGTAATTCATAAATTCATTTTAATAAAAATCGAGCAATAATTACTTAGTTTTATTGGACTTTTAAAATTTGCTGCATACATAGGAGTCTTGTATGTAAGGTGGAGAGAGAGATGCACTTAAGGCTTTTGATATAAGAGATATATTAGGTAGTTGGGAAAGTCATGACACATTTTTCTGCTTCTCTATGTAAAAATGTGTCATGACTTTCCCGACAACCTAATAAATCAGGACTTAGTTTGAAACTGACATCTGATATTAGGCAGAAAGCTTATATAATTAAGTAGTATTGGTTTGATCTTTCTGTTGGTAAAAGTTGTGATTTGAGTAGCTGTTGGTATATTATATAACTCCATTTTCCTTGAATCATGTAAAACACTTAAAGGTTGGGGCCTACAGGTGGCATGGTGGTTATATCACTGGACACCCACATGGCCAACTGCGGTTTGAGTCCCAGACCTGGTGGCTTGAAAGTCATGCTGGATGCATGTGCATGCCTGCCTACAGTCCCAGAAGGAGAATGAAGGGATTGTGGCATGCTCATTCCCCGAGGGGGCTGATTTCTCACTTTCCCCCTCACTGTCTCTCTCCTTATCTCTCTCCTGCAAGGACATGCACCCTATGGCCAAAACCTTAGGAGAAACAAAACAAAACAAAGCAACCCTGAAAGGTCAGTAAGATCATGTGTTCAGGTTTGCTGAAGCTGAGAGTGTACAGACTATACTATATGATCTTACCTACCCACAGTAACTTAAGCATTTATTTTAGAAAATCAAGTTGATATTTTAAATCCTGTTTTTCTAGGTGTGTCATGAGACTTTAGAAAGAATCTTTGTGTGTGTGTTATAGAGGAGACAAGTAGAGTACTTTTTTCTAAGTTCATTTATTTCTTTGATGAGAGAGCAACTGAAAGAAAGACAGGTACCTGGACAGGGTCTCACGCCAAGATCCCCTGCAGCTCCTCAGCCATTCGGATCATGGGTACACACCCATGTGCTGGCATGTTCATATCAAGCCAGGATTCACACCCTTGTATTCCATATGGCTCCAGCACCACAAAGCAGCACCTGCCTGCACCACTGAGCTGGGCCGAAATTATTCCTTCTAACAAGGTTTTAAGATCGGTAACAATTAGAGCTGTAAACCCTTTTTGGTTTTAGTCCTTATTTCAGAACTATTACATTCCAAGTATGCTTTTGATTTTTCACTGAGTTTGACCATTTTCAGGGGTTACATTTGTACAAAACTCTGAAGTTAGTACCTGCATACTTTCAAAGACTTCATTCTAAGAGATGAGAGACAGGTTATCACAAACTAATATTTGTGCATGGTTCTCTTTAAGTAGTTTAAAGTAATAGCAGTATCTTTGTATCTCAAACTAAGATATTTCAGAGGTTTCTCCTTCAGGGCAAGGGCAATGTGCTTTTCACCTACCACCAGTATATTTGGATGAATAGTTGAATAAATGGATATTAATTTTCCATTTTCTTTTTTTTTTTTCTTTTTTTGGAGAGGTTTTTGCTATAGGGCACATGCGCTCACCAGAAAGAGAGAGACAGAGAGACAGAAAGCAAGAAATCCCCCCCCAGGGGGGATGGCCACACCGCAATCCCTTCTCCTCCTCTCTCCTCTCAGGATCTTGGGCATGCACGTACACGCGTCCAGCGTGAGTTTAAGCCACCAGGTCCGGGCCTCAGACTGCGGTCAACTACATGGGAGTCCAGCGACATAGCCATTACACCAACTGCTGGTCCCTCCATTTTTCATTTTCAAGTAAAAAAGCAAAATTAGTCTTACAAAATAGTAGTAAAATCCAGAAGTTTCATGAGCACTGGTTGCCTGTAATGTGTAAGTAAATCTTTCCTTTTGCTAAGAGTAAGGTAAGAAGTTAGCCCAAGGGGTCTTCCACTCCTTTCTCCTCCTTCGTAGTCCTGGCACTTTTAGCCCTTTTCCTTGTGGGATGGACGAGAGTATTTGGTTCTGTATATGCTCCAGGTGTATCAAGGTAAATCTTTTGGATTAAATGGTTATTGAAGTATTTTGAGTTTGTATGCTTTGGTCACATGTGCTCAGCAAAGGGTTTTATTACAGACACTTTACCGCCCGTAATCAGAAGTGCCTAATTTCTAAATAATTATATTTAGGTAAGAGCCTCCTGATTTTGAAGAATGCTTTTGCTTTGCAACTTTTAAAACATGGTTTTTTCTGGGGCCAGCAGGTGGCATGGTGGTTAAGGGTGCTGGACTCCCACATGGTCAACCACATGGCCGACCACTGTTGGAGTCCTGGATCTGGCGGCTTCCTTTCTCGCTTTCCCTCTCTCTCTCTCGTTCTGTCCCTCTCTGGTCAAATTAAGAATAAATAAATAAAGGTAAATAAAATAATCTTTTTAAAAATGGGGTTTTCTGTATCTGTACTTAGATATTTTTATTAACCTTATTTGTAGGTCCTACCGCCCTGTTGGCTCATGAAATAGGCTTTGGAAGCAAAGTTACAACACACCCACTTGCTAAAGACAAAATGATGAATGGAAGTAAGTATATGCTTATATTTTAATGTACATAAAGACTTTCTTTTTAAAAACTGCAGCTTAGCATTGTTTCTCAACCGGTATAATCCAATATGGCGATTGTCTGTGGGCTGAGGCATGGGGATGGCTTTGCGTCTGTAGGAAATAGAGTTCACCATGGGCTGGAGAGGCATGTGTCAAGTTTCTAGGTGTGCTGGGATTAAGGGCGGTGTAGTCCTTAGCACAGCGCAGCTGGAGTCTTAATTGCTGCAGATCGAAAGTGGTTATCAAGACCTGGAGTGGTGGTCGGGGTGCTGGACTCTGATTTAGCGGACCGTGGTTCAAGTCCCGGACCTGGCAGCTTGTTTTGTCACTTTTTCTGTCTGTCTCTCTGGTTAGTGCATGTGCCTATAGTAAATTAATAGTAATAATAATAAATAAAATTAAATTATAAGTAATTAAAACAAAAATTTTTAAAAAGTGCTTATCAAATGCCTAACTAGTATTTTTACTAGATACTTTGCCAGTGGCCTGAAAGTAAATTTTAAACCTCGACAGCAATTTTAGAAAGTGCCCTTTTACCCAGAGTCCAAAGTAAAATGGACGTTGCTTTCTTCATTCAGTGAATACCTCAGTGGCAGGCCTGTTTCCTTTTTTTATTTTAAAAGCAGTTAGACATTTAATTTTTATTAACTTATATTTATAAAAGCAATTTTTATCCATGGTAAAAAATGTAAACAGTAAAGAAAGAGGATGAAGTAAAACTAAATGTCATTCTTCTCTTTTCCCCACATACTTTCTCCTGCTCAGAATTAACATTAAAATTTTCTTGTGTAACTCTCTAAAATTTCTTTGCACACACTCCTCATTTTTAGTTCAATATTTTTACTTGCACTAGTACTAAATACATTGTTCTACATTTTTTTAAAGCTTATTTTCTTTAGACCATGAAATAGAGAGGTCCCCCCCAACAGAGTTTTCACGCCGTGATCCATGCCTGGCCTCAGCCAGCCTGAGTCCTGGGCATATGTGTGTACGCCCAGCAAGTACAGGAAGGCCCTGGGAACTTTTCCCTGCGGGCCCACCAGCAGCGGCAGTTGCACCACTAGTTCTTTGTTTAGGTTGGTGTCATTCCCGTTTTACTGACGAGAAAAGGGAAGCTCCTAGAGGTCGATGGCTGCTAAATGGCAGACCTGAGATTTCAACCTGCAACTGCTGTGCTCAGGGGTCAGTAAACGTTTTCTTTAAGGGCCTGTAGTAAATATTAGATCGTCGGAGAGTCATGACATATTTTTCTGTGTCCTTCTATGCAAAAATGCATCATGACTTTCCCGGCGACTCAATACTTCATGCTTTCTGGGTCTTTAGGTTTCCGGCAGCTACTCAGAAAGCTCCAGAGTAGCTACAGACAGTATGTTAACAAATAAGCGTGGCTTTGTGTCAGTAAAACTTTATTTACCAAAGCAGGCTGGATTTGGCTTTGTGTTGCTGACTCTTATGTCTTGAGCTTCTCCTGCCGCTTTTTCTCTGAAGAGACTTCTTGACTGTGAGATTTTTGCTTAAAGGTATAAAATCAGTGCCTGGATCAGGCTCTGGGTAACACAACTTTCCCCACATGGGAAAGGTCTTGTGTTCACGTATGGGATCTCCCTGGTGCTCTACCCGTGACCCAGGTTTTCTGAGGCTGAGGTGGATCTCAGTGTGAAGAACCTATTGGGTGTACTCCCCCTACCCCTGTTTTTTTTTTTTTTTTTTTTTTTTTTTTAATTTGCTTGAGAGCAGATTTGCTTGCCAGAGAGATGGGGGTGGGGTGTGAGAAAGCACCCTTCATGGGATATGATCATGCCACAGTCCCTTCTCTTTCTCATTTCAGGATTTTGGGCATGCACACATACATACCCGGTGTGTTTCTCAAGCCACCGGCTCCAGGACTTGAATTAAATAGTAAGCCATGTGGGATCCAGCTACCTTAGCCACCATGCCACTGCCAGGCTCCCCCTCTCTCCATCTTTCTCATCAAAGAGATACATGTTTAGGGGGGGAAAAAAAGGCATTATGTCATTTGAATGTAAGGCATAGAATCTGTGAATATGCCTGCACTAAGTCACAACTCCCATCTGCCAAGTTTGCACATTGCACCCTCCTGTCACAGAGCCCATTAAGGTATGTTGTCTTTCTTCATCATCGCCACTAGGTGGAGACAGTAGATAGTGCAGACCTTTTATTTATTTATTTATTTTCTGGTTGAGATTTTGAAAAGAACTGAAGAACCTTTAAACATACTTAACCAATTCCGGCCTTATCTGCAACATTTTCATCTTGTAGACGTGAAGTGAACCATTTTCAGCAGTGCCTCATGTTGTCCCTGTCTAGGCGGCTCATCTCACAGCTAGGAAAACCTAGCCCAGCCGGTTTTCTAGTTTAGCATTTAAAATTATCTTGGCCTGGTTTAACCATCAGGAAATGAGGTTAGATTATGAAAACCTTTCCTTTCCTCTCAACCTGGGGATCTTCTTTTTCTCTAAGATAGTGTAAATATGAATATTTTGATGTGTTCTATTCGGTTATTTCAGTGAGTTGCTTGATATTTTTGTTTTCTTTTCTTTTTTTATAATTTTGCTGTAGGACACCTGTGTTCACCAGGGAGATGGAGAGGGGTGTGTGTTGGGGGGTGATTTCTCACCACCCCCCACCCCCAGGAAATAGCCATGCTGCAATCCCTTCTCCATTCTTCTCATGGGATTTTGGGCACACATGCACATGCACCGGGTGTGTTTTTCAAGCATTTTGGGCATGCACACATACATACCCGGTGTGTTTCTCAAGCCACCGGCTCCAGGACTTGAATTAAATAGTAAGCCATGTGGGATCCAGCTACCTTAGCCACCATGCCACTGCCAGGCTCCCCCTCTCTCCATCTTTCTCATCAAAGAGATACATGTTTAGGGGGGGAAAAAAAGGCATTATGTCATTTGAATGTAAGGCATAGAATCTGTGAATATGCCTGCACTAAGTCACAACTCCCATCTGCCAAGTTTGCACATTGCACCCTCCTGTCACAGAGCCCATTAAGGTATGTTGTCTTTCTTCATCATCGCCACTAGGTGGAGACAGTAGATAGTGCAGACCTTTTATTTATTTATTTATTTTCTGGTTGAGATTTTGAAAAGAACTGAAGAACCTTTAAACATACTTAACCAATTCCGGCCTTATCTGCAACATTTTCATCTTGTAGACGTGAAGTGAACCATTTTCAGCAGTGCCTCATGTTGTCCCTGTCTAGGCGGCTCATCTCACAGCTAGGAAAACCTAGCCCAGCCGGTTTTCTAGTTTAGCATTTAAAATTATCTTGGCCTGGTTTAACCATCAGGAAATGAGGTTAGATTATGAAAACCTTTCCTTTCCTCTCAACCTGGGGATCTTCTTTTTCTCTAAGATAGTGTAAATATGAATATTTTGATGTGTTCTATTCGGTTATTTCAGTGAGTTGCTTGATATTTTTGTTTTCTTTTCTTTTTTTATAATTTTGCTGTAGGACACCTGTGTTCACCAGGGAGATGGAGAGGGGTGTGTGTTGGGGGGTGATTTCTCACCACCCCCCACCCCCAGGAAATAGCCATGCTGCAATCCCTTCTCCATTCTTCTCATGGGATTTTGGGCACACATGCACATGCACCGGGTGTGTTTTTCAAGCCACTGGATCTGAGACTTGAACTGCACAGTTGGCCTTGTGGGATCCAGCTGCCTTAACCACCATGCCACTTGCTGGTCCAAGTTACTTGATTCTTTAATGAGATAGTAAGACATAAGTTACTGTAGGTAATGTGCATTTGAAAAGAAGTGCACATTGATGTGTGATTTCTAAATCCCATTAACACGGAGAAGCAGAGTGCTGGGTGAATTTTTCTATATGTAAAAACATTTACATACAGAAACAAACGTTTCCTGAGCACCTCCTTAAGATGGGTACTGGGGACAGAGGCAGGGAGAGGATGAAGGTGCGCACTCAGGCAGGTGCTGGGCGCCACGGCGCACTCTTGAGTCGGTAGGAGGGCACAGATGATTGGATCCGTGCTTGTCTGGCGCGGCCAAGGGGCTGGTGCATGAGGATTTCACAGGGCCTTCGTCTGCTTCTGCCCCTCCCCTAAATCTCTTTGTCCTCTGTCCCCATGTCACTGTTATCACTGTCGCCTGCTCATCTGGGACAAACAGCTGGGAGCAGCCTTGAAACCTCTCCAGGTCTAGCCCTTCAGTAAACTCTGGGCACATTATCACTAAGATCTATGTCAGGCCCTCATTTCCTCTTAATTGCCACTGTCGCCAGCCTAGTCCAGGCCACTAGCTCCCCCCTGGGTGGCAGGTTCTTTTCTGTCTCCCTCTGGTTTTTTCCAGTTCAGTCTGTATGTAAGAGGCCAGACCCAGACGGCTTTGTGCACCATGAAATGGGATTCACAGTCATCTTTAGGTACTGCAGAAAGTTGGTGAGGGCTCTTCGTTTTGGGGGACAGGGGGAAAACTGCTCTCCTTTGCACTCAGGAAACTACCATTTTGAATACTGAGCGTGGAGTGGAGGGGTAGAAAACTGAAAAGCTGAAATAATGCAGAGATCCTTCGTTAAAGCAGCAGAAAGGCACAGGGAAAAGAGCTCGAGTCAAGGAACAGTCATTATTCATTCACCTCATGCTTAAGGGGCGTCCTGTGCCGTCACTGTTCTAGGCCAGTCCTTTAATGAGTAGACTGTAAACAAGGGAGCACGTGTGTGCAGATTGTGTGAGTGCTGACGGGAGTAGATAGAGGGCTGTGATAGGGTAATGGGGGGACTTAATTTAGGGAGAGACCACAGCTACCCTCTTGGGATGGATGCTGATGTAAAACCAGAGGGGTGAGGGAGTAGGAAGAGCCTTCTGGGCAGAGGGAGCCATCCTTGCAACTCTTCCTGGGGCAGGGGACAACTGCACCTAGTAGTAAAGAGCTCGGGGAGGGGGTGGCCCATGTGGGGCTCTGCCACATGACAAGTTCAAGCTTGGTCTGTACACAGTGGGAGAGGTGTGTGAAGGGGGAGAACTTGGGGAGTCTGTGGGGAAGAGCCCCAGCTTTGTTATATTTGCCCCACTCCCCCCCCCAAAAAAAACAAAAACACCACACAGTTTGAAGAGGATGCAGAAGACACAGTCCCTGAGAAAGGACTGTGTTTTACCTCCCGCCATCTCTCCATCCAGCGTGTTGTGCTGTGATTGCTTTAGTTTTTGAGGCAGCCAGAGCAAGCACGAGCTCCCTGTCTGCTACTACTGGTAGGTCCTGCCCTGGATGTCGCCCTTCCCTTCTCTCCTTCTCTGTCAGCATTCACTGTGAGATAGAAATGCGAATAATTAACATTCATGCTGGGGCCAGCAGGCAGTGTGGTGGTGAAGGCGGATGAAATCATACATGGCCCACATGGCCAACCAGTTCAAGTCCTAGACCTGGCAACTTGCTTGCTTTCTCTCTCTCTCTGGTGACCACATATGCTCTATAGCAAATTTTTAAAAAGTAATGATAATAGTAAAATTAAGTAAATTATTATTTTAAAAAAATTCATGCTGACATCTCCCTCAACACTTACTTAGAAGGTCTTAGCAACTACATTCAACTATTTGTTCCTTTTCCAGGGTAGTTAGCCCACTCTCCATTGACTGTACAGTCTCTTTAATACCTTCCTGTGGTGCTCCTCAGAGCTTGGAGCACCTGGTACATGTTTTTGAATGGCTAGCTACAGAGTTGGGGGTTTTAAAAACTTCCTATATGAGGCCTGTGCAGTAACAGTGCGTTGAATTGCTAACTACTGGTGATCATCATCCAGAATCATCCGTTATTTATTTTTTTTCTTTTCATTTTTTATCTTTCCTTTGCAGGTCATTACACCTACTCTGAGAATCGTGTGGAAAAGGATGGTCTGATTCTTACAAGCCGTGGTCCTGGGACCAGCTTCGAATTTGCTCTCGCGATTGTTGAGGCGCTGAGCGGCAAGGAGGTGGCCGACCAAGTGAAGGCTCCACTTGTTCTTAAAGATTAGAGCAGGAGAATGTGCCCGTGAGTGAGAGGAACGGAGTTTGTGATCCATTCTCACTGCATTTGCATTAAACACGTGGTTGGCTAATGTGCCCCCACGTCGTCATTGCTGCTTGTGTAGTTGCGAAGTCTCAATTGCACACGGATTGTATCGCTCGGCCTACGAGCTGTCTCTACATTTCTGAACCTTGTTTGCAGAATAAACAGGGCATTTAGCAAACTACTGGTTGTCCCTCATTTTGTATCTCTTTTCTTTTGCGAAAATTCATTACCAGCCTCATTTGCAGCTCTTTACTATTAATGTAGCTACTATCATAAAGAGCAGTGAACACATTTTCTACAACAAGGAAGGAAATTATGAAAGCACAATGTTGAAGGCTGTCATTTCCTCCCACTCGTGTGGGTTGTGTGTGTGTGTGTGAGAGAGAGATTTTTGCCATCGGCCGAGTGCACTCTCTGGAGAGACAGACAGAAAGCAAGAAATCACCACCCACGGGAGTTGGCCACACCACAGTCCCTCTCCATTCTCTTCTCGTATTTTGGGCACACATGCACACTCACCCAGCCTGGGTTTTAAGCTACCAGGTCTGGGATTTGAACCATAGTTGACTCCATGGGAGTCCAGTGACATAACCATTATGCCATCTACTGGTCCCAACTGTGTGTATTTAATGTGTTGTAAAAAAGTATTTGTTGAAGCTAGCTGTGATGGTGAATTTTTGCAAACCGATTCCTTTTTCCATTGTAGAATCTAGAGCTGTCAGATGAAATCGAGAACTTGGCGAGGCTGGCCGAGCATCTATAGCCTGCGTTCCTGGGGCAGTTGTGCCAAGCATTCCTCCCGAGTCACCCCAGCCCTGCCCTGTGGGTGAGAGGCACCTCAGGTGGCAAGAGCCGGGTCTAGCTGGTGAGAGCCTTGTTCCCCCGACTAGTGACCCAGGTGAGGTCAGGCTGTCTGTGCGACTGTGCCATTCTGAGCCTCAGCGAAGCACTCTCTCTGCTGCAGTGGCCAAGAGGGCATGCTATACCTGACAGCCACCTTGTCACTGTGAGGAAGGAACCCCCCTGAGAACAGGCCCTGGCCTAGAACACAAGGCAGATGTTAATTTTTTTTTAAGTGCAAACATGGGGGCCCAGCAAGTAGTAGGGTGGTTAAGACACTGGACTCCCACTTGGCTGTCTACAATTTGGGTCCCAGACCTCACAGCTTGAAAATCATACCAGGCGCATGCCCAGAATCTCAAGAGGAGGATGGAAGAGAAGGGATTGCAGTGTGGCCATCTCCCCTGGGTGGTGATTTCTCACTCCCTCTCACTGCCTCTGTTTCTTTCCGTTGAGCACACACGCTCCAAAAAAATAATGAAGTTCAAGTATGAAATTGCACATTTGAGTGAGTACTGTGAAAGGGAAGAAAGCACACTGAGGGGGAGAGGACAGGAGAGACTACACAGGAGAGGGGGTAGGACTAGCCTCGGAGAGTGACGTTGAAGCTGAGGCGTGAAATAGCACAGGGCTGGGTTTCCAGCTGTTGAGCAGGTGTTCGGCCAGTACCTACTATGTGGATGTGCCAGGCTCTGTCCTGGTGCTGGGAACAAGCCACTGAGGAATGCAGTCTGCACTTCTAGAGCTTATAGGAGAGGGAGGAAACACAACAGGGAAGTGTATCTGGTCTATGAAAGATGAAGGGGGGTAAGGAGGAAATGATAGGGATGTTTTCTGCATGATGGTTAGATAAGTCCTTTGAAAGATCTGAGAAGACATCTGGAAAAATCTAGATAAGAGCACACCAGGCAGAAGAAAAGGAAATACAAAAGCCCTGTGGCAGCATTGTGCTGGGGTAGAGCAATGGCGAGAGGGCCAGCCTAAGGGGAAACTTGAGGGGAGCTTGGGGAGGTTTCGAGGCCATGCCAGTGACTGGGATAGAAACCGTGGAGAGGAGCCCGGATCGACCTGGTCCAAAGGCTTTTCTGTTGAGAAGGGGTCCTAAGGGAATAAGGTACAGGTGGACAGGGCCTGTCGCTGTCATCTTCAGGGTGGGATCCTGAAGCAGGTCTGGGGTGGCAGAGGTGGGTGCCCATGGAGGGTGTGAGGAAAGGCTGTCAAGGACAGTCCCACATTTCTGACGGGCACACTAGGTCAGGGAGGTCCTTGTCCCATGTTGCTGAAGGAACCCTTGGGAGAAGAGCTGGGACTGAATTTAAAAGCACACATTGATGAATTTGAGCTATTTATAAAATACGCTTTTAGTAAGGAAAGGAAGGCCAGCCAGTGGCAAGGTAAAGGTGGCGGGTCCACATGGCCAGTCATGCAGTTCAAGTCTTGGACCCAGTGGCTTGAAAAACACGTTGGGCATGTGTGTGTCCCCAAAATCCCTATAGAAGGGGGAAATAGACAAAGGATTGCAGCTGATTATTCCCCATGGTGTGGCAGGAGGTACTTTCTCACCAGCAAATTTAAAAAAAAAAGAAAGAGCGAAAGACCTGTTATTTGAAATCACAAAAGACTGATACGAAATGTATTTATTAATAATAGTGAATGCGGGACCAGCAGTTGGTGTAATGGCTGTTGCTGGACTCCCATGTAGTTGACCATGGTTCGAGTCCTGGACCCGGTGGCTTAAACTCACGCCAGGCGCATGTGCGTGTGTGCCCGAGATCCTGAGAGGAGAATGGAGGAGAAGGGATTGTGGCGTGGCCATTCCCTCTGTGGGGTGATTTCTCACTTTCTGTCTCTCTGTCTTTCTGGTGAGCGCACACGCCCTATAGCAAAAACCTCTCCAAAATAATACTAATAATGGTGAATGCTGCGAACTCTCTGGAGTTAGCGAAGTGTTTTGCCAGCAGCCCCTGCCTCTGAGTACTTGCCCTGGAATTTTAGAGATAGGTACACAGGAAGGGAGATTTGGAGAGATGAGTGCTCTGCATGTGTGCCTGGAAGGCAGCTTCTCTAAGACTTTCCTTTCACAGGAGCCCAGGCATTATAGTGAAGACTTCTCTCCCTGAGAGTGAGGGCTTTTTCTAGACCTTGGATCTTTTTTGGCCATTACTGAATTAACAACTTTTGATATGAAGTTGATAACACTTAAAAGCCGTTCACCCAGTTTCCAATACTAAACCAACCTGCTTCCTCCTAGGAAGTAAGTGGGGGTAGCAAACAAAATTGGGGAGCTGATGTGAGAGTGGTGGCATCATTTGCAAAGTGACGGAGTTGGATTGTAGGGGTGTGGCTGATTGGTTTGACTGTGTCCCCAACCTGACCCTGGGGCACGGACAGTCAAAGTTTACTCTCACCTTAGAGACAGTGGCTGCAGCCTATACAGCTACCGAATGCTGCTGAAAGAGCTGGGAAGGAGACAGAACCCAGAAATCCAGTCTTGCTGAAGCTCCATGCCGGGACCGAAACTACTCCCATGTAGTTGACCATGGTTCGAGTCCTGGACCCGGTGGCTTAAACTCACGCCAGGCGCATGTGCGTGTGTGCCCGAGATCCTGAGAGGAGAATGGAGGAGAAGGGATTGTGGCGTGGCCATTCCCTCTGTGGGGTGATTTCTCACTTTCTGTCTCTCTGTCTTTCTGGTGAGCGCACACGCCCTATAGCAAAAACCTCTCCAAAATAATACTAATAATGGTGAATGCTGCGAACTCTCTGGAGTTAGCGAAGTGTTTTGCCAGCAGCCCCTGCCTCTGAGTACTTGCCCTGGAATTTTAGAGATAGGTACACAGGAAGGGAGATTTGGAGAGATGAGTGCTCTGCATGTGTGCCTGGAAGGCAGCTTCTCTAAGACTTTCCTTTCACAGGAGCCCAGGCATTATAGTGAAGACTTCTCTCCCTGAGAGTGAGGGCTTTTTCTAGACCTTGGATCTTTTTTGGCCATTACTGAATTAACAACTTTTGATATGAAGTTGATAACACTTAAAAGCCGTTCACCCAGTTTCCAATACTAAACCAACCTGCTTCCTCCTAGGAAGTAAGTGGGGGTAGCAAACAAAATTGGGGAGCTGATGTGAGAGTGGTGGCATCATTTGCAAAGTGACGGAGTTGGATTGTAGGGGTGTGGCTGATTGGTTTGACTGTGTCCCCAACCTGACCCTGGGGCACGGACAGTCAAAGTTTACTCTCACCTTAGAGACAGTGGCTGCAGCCTATACAGCTACCGAATGCTGCTGAAAGAGCTGGGAAGGAGACAGAACCCAGAAATCCAGTCTTGCTGAAGCTCCATGCCGGGACCGAAACTTCCTCTTGTAGCCAGTGGCTCAGAGCTTACCCGGCACTGCAGCCACAGCCAGCTGGACTTGATCAACTGACTTCCCGAGGCCCTGACCAGTGTTGCTCCGGAGAAGGGACCACACAACCGCTGAACTGAAGGGAGATTTATTTCCCAGGTGCTAAAAAGTACAAACAGGAAGGGGCCAGAGCTACTGAGCACCTGCTCTGTACCGAGCACTTAGCTGGGTGGTTTGGCTTGTTTGTTGGGCTTTGTTGTTTGTAGCTGTGTTTTATTTCACACTTCGTACAAAAGGGATCGTATTATACCACACTGTCCTGCCCCTTGCTTTTTCACTCACTGTATCTTAGCTATTGCTCTACCAGTGTGCGGAGTCATTAATGCAAGCCGCATTGTTCAGCTCAGTCCGACAACAACCCAACAACGTGGCTGTTGGTGTCATACACTAGAAGAAGAGAAAAGCCTAGTCTTTTAGAGGTCAAGAACCAGTCTGTCCTGTGCCATGGGACTGTCATAAGGATCAAAGAGTACTATAAAAGGGGAAGTATATTTCTTAAACTGTGAAACACTAAATGTAAAGTATTATTTTAGTGTAGCCAACTGTATCATCTTAGAGTCTGGTTACGTATTCTATATTGTAGGGTGTTGGTTCTCTGAGGAATGAGAACATTAAACTCCCCTGCAGCTAATTCTGCAGAATCGTCTGGTAGTCTTTATTTATTTTCTTTAGAAAATGTTCTGCCTTTGCCCTTAGTTAGGGGAGGCTGCAGCAGGGACCACGGACTCAGACATACTCCCATCAGCCACAGCGTCTTCCCTCATGCGGATGTGGGATCTGTCAGTGGAGAGCAGAGGCAAGGCTATTCCTGTTTACATGTGGGCTGGACACATCTTTGTGGGCCCAGTATGGGTCCTCCTAGTGCTTTCTCCAGACCCCAGCTTGAGCCTCAAGACCTCGAGGCCAAGGCCAGGGGCTCGTTGGGACCAAGCACCATGGA